AAGCCATTTTTTTGTTTCCCTTAGACACTGCTACAGCTACTTAACAGCCTAGGACATGGGACATCCTACTGAAATCTAGAGTCATGGGAAAAAGAAGGTACACCCTCTTTGAATTCTGCGGTTTTACATACGAGGACAAAATAACAATCACCTGTTCCTTAGCATGTCTAAGGAACATGGTGCAATATGTCATGACTGCAGGTTTTAACTGAACTTATCAAAATGTATATATTTGGTTGAGATTAGAAAAGTCAGGCTACCTGATGGAGGTGAGAGTAGACATTGCATTGCCTAGTTTGGTCCCTTTAACTGTTTGTAGGGACAGTTATAAAATTCCATAAATCAAGTAGCATTTCACTGAGCCGTTCTCTCCCTGCAGCTTCTACCATCCAAGCCCTGTAATTATTTAATATCCTTCTATCTGCTTATTAAGTGACTCACCACAGGCACTAGTAATTTTTGCCGTTATTTTTCATTGCTCATCTACTTATTTTTAATTCTGCTAATAATTTCTCCCATGCAAATGTGATCGTGGGATGTGCGGGGGGGGAGGGGGAACCCTCCCTCCCCAAATGTTCACGCTGCATATCTATTAGAATAATAGCGTTATGTATAAATAAATGACAGAGAGGCTGTAATTTTGAAAGGTATTAATCAACAACGATGTTGTGACTGAATACCGATCTCGACAAGTTTCGTTGCTTTAAAATTGCAATAATTTTTTACAGCCCGTTCCTCCCTCAATGCAAGCAGGGATCTAGTTCCTTTTCACGTGCATTGGAACCGAATGTTCGGTATTTATCACCATGAGAGAGTAGATGAATGGGATCAGATCATGTGTGTGTAACATGCTAACCTTTCTCTTAAAACAATACAGAAATAATAATATAATAATAATACAACAAGTGGTATTCAACTGTGTACCTCCACCACCCACAAATCTGGTCTGGAGGCTTGGTGGAAAACACAGAAGAGGTTTGGAGTGGGTGTTGGTGGAGAATCGTGCATTAAACTAGTAAGAGACTGACACCAAATGCCAGAGGCAGGAGGCAGAAAAGGACTGAGAACAGTGCACACACTGAGAGAAGTGCACACACTTCTGAATCCAGTACGCTCCCAACATTGGTTTGGGAAGTGGTGCACACACGACGTTCGCCACACAACCCATATCTATCCTCTCGTTCCTTGGGAAATGCTGAGGTTTGATCCGTTTCCCCCAAAACTAACTTCATTTCGAACACAGAAAAACAACAACAACATCCCTGCCCGTCTGGACCTAGTTCTGTCTTAAGCCAGTAATGTGTACACAGTCTTAAGTCAACCCCTGGAGACCACACAAGGCTACATTTAGTGAACAATAAGGAAGCTGAAATCCAAGAGAGGCCAGGTCCCAAGAAAAGAAAAAGGCAGGAGAATGTGAATTAAATCTAAGCTAGGTTCTGTGCTACGAAAACGGACTACATCCTGCACAACGTGACTGAAGCCAGGCAGGATTTCTGTACTTCCAACATTTAGTTCATCTGTTTCTTTGGTGGGAAAAAAAAGATTTTGCTCCTGTCACACAAACACACACACACACAAATACCGTCAGCTGGGCTGTATTTATGTGGCTTTTGTTGCTTTTCTCAATACATGTCACAGGTTTTTAATTACTTTTGCTATTTGTGGCACCACAATAGCACTCAAACAGATCTGGTTTCCAGGGTGATTATGCAAGCCGATGTAGAAATTTGAAAATAGGTGGCCTCCAAAGAGCTTATTATTTTAAATGATATAGTATAACCTGCCGGTGGGTAAAGCCAACACTTGGGGATGGAGGTGGAGGAGAAACAAGCAAGGGAGACAATAGGAGGCAGAGGTGCCGGGGATCACAAGTGCTGTTGCACTCATGCCCTGGTTGTGGGATTCCCATAGGCATCTCGATGGCCACCTTGAGAACAGGGTTCAGGACTATATAAACCTTGGCTTGATCCAACAGGGCTTTCCTTAGGTTCTTATGAGCATGGGGGAAATGGCTTGCAAAATACTCGCAGTCATTCATAGCATTAGGCTTACGGCAGATGTTCCATCCATATTGGTTAATCTTGCTCTAGGAATGAGACGGCTTGAGAGTTTAGTTCCACCATGAATGATGCTGGAATGATTAATACTCACAGGCTCCCATCTTATGTACTCTGACCTGGGAGTAAGGGAAAGGACCCCTGGACAGTTAAGTCCAGTCAAAGGCGACTATGGGGTTGCGGCGCTCATCTCGCTTTCAGGCCGAGGGAGCTGGCGTTTGTCCACAGACAGCATGACTAAACCACTTCTGGCGCAACAGGACACCCTGGTAGAAACCAGAGCACATGGAAACACCGTTTACCTTCCTGCCGCAGCGGTACCTATTTATCTACTTGCACTGGCATGCTTTCGAATTGCTGGGTTGGCAGGAGCTGGGACAGAGCAACGGGAGCTCACTCCATCGTGGGGATTCAAACCGCCGACCTTCTGATCGGCAAGCCCAAGAGGCTCAGGGAGAGCCAGTGTGGTGTAGTGGTTAAGAGCGGTAGTCACGTAATCTGGGGAACTGGGTTCGCGTCCCCGCTCCTCCACATGCAGCTGCTGGGTGACCTTGGGCTAGTCACACTTCTCTGAAGTCTCTCAGCCCCACTCACCTCACAGAGTGTTTGTTGTGGGGGAGGAAAGGAAAGGAGAATGTTAGCCGCTTTGAGACTCCTTAAAGGGAGTGAAAGGCGGGATATCAAATCCAAACTCCTCCTCTTCTTCTTCTTCTTCTTCTTCTTCTTCTTCCTCTTCCTTCTTCTTCTTCTTCTTCTTCTTCTTCTTCTTCTTCTTCTTCAGGGCTTTAGACCACAGCACCACCTGCATCCCTGACTTGGGAGTAAATCCTATTGAACACAGTGGGACTTAATCCTGAAAAACGCAGCACAGCATTGTAACAAAACGAATAAAGTGAAAAGAACTAAAGCTCCCAAGAGTTGATTCTCCCTTCTTGACTTTCTTGCTTAACTTCCGGGGGTTTCTTGTCAGAGAGGGTCCATTGATGGATGTGGTACTTCAGCAGCTTCCTGACCATGCCAAGCGTTGATGCCAGCCTTGCTGACCACTGAATTAGGTGTCTAATATGTTTTCATTGTTTTTTAAAAAATAATAATCAAAAAGGATATTGAGCCATCAAAGCCGGACAAAGCTGATTATTTGGCATGAATATGCAATGCATCATAACAAAATCAAGTACACCAGCATCTGTGAAAATCAAAAGTAACAGAACGTTATACTCCTGCATGCCAATATAATTTCCCACCACTGCAAAATATATTGTTCCCTCCTCCGCGGTAAACAGCACAAAAAGAGTTTATACCAGATGTGTTTTGCACATTAAAAGCAATTAATTAACAGTGTGATCCTAGACATGTCTTGTCAGAAGCAAGTCTCTTTGAGTTCAGTAGGACTTGCTCCCAGGTCCAATACTCAATGTACTTAAATCCCACTGAATATCATGGGACTTATATCTGAATAGACATATAAAATTGCACTGTAGATTACAGTAACTTTTCTTGAATCCTAAGAACTGCAAGGATCATTCTGCTTGCAAAATGGGGTTTTCCTGTCTGCTCCCTTTTATCTGCGCACAACAATTGTTTCCAAAAAAAATTCTTCCTTTTGCCTTTTTAAGGGCAACACAAGATGGCAGGCAGTTTTTTGAAATATTTAGCCACCAGCTTTGCTGTTGCTATGCCATGGGTTGCTTGTAAGTATTTTACAGAGCTCTAGCTAAAGATGTCTCTGACTAGGAGCTGAGAGAAGAGGGCACAGGAATTTGGGGAATTAAACACAGACACAAGGTCCAGGGAGTGGATTGTGGAAGCAGAGGCTCATGAGACAGATGGATGGAGGAAGCAGAAGCAAATTACGGGTGGCAGGGAAGAAAGTGGCAAGGAAATGAGGAACCTAGGAATAGGAGAAAGAGCTAAATGTATTAAGCAAGGAGGCTTGTATGTTGTTAGCAGGAAGTTGGGGAACAAGCAAAAGAACGTGGGATGATTGGATGTATGGGCTAGACATATGAAGGAGCAATATATAGTTCCAGTGTTTGGGAGTGACTTTCATATGTTTTTAACCAATCAGTCAAATCTTTCATGGAAAAAAATGAATCATTTTAATCCTGGATATTCCCCCTGAAATCAACTGGCTCAGATCAAATTTATGTGGTCCCCCAATGCCCTCTAACGCAAAAGGAAATGTATTTCAGTGGAAAGCGTACAAAAAACGATGGCTGTTTGCCAGGGCATTGTTTTCACTGCTACTATGCAAACAAACTGATTAAACAAAACAAAAACAAATTCAAAGCAATGCAAAAGGGGGGGGGAATCAGTGATTGCAGATGTTTGTGATCTGACAAGCAAAGAGAGAAACGTTGTGGTTCAAATTTCTAGTTGCCTGCTAACAAATGGAATACTGCCCCAAGATATTTTGGAAAAGGACTGTTTCAAAATACTTTTCAAAAGTGAAGTTGTACTGGAAGGTTTTGGAAAATAAAACAAAATGTCCCTAAGAGAAACTGCAAACTTGATGCTAGACCTCCCTTATTTTTTAGGGCACCACCGAAAGGTTGTTTCAAGGTTGTAGCTCTTTCTAACACACACTGAATGCAACAGCGACACTCAGTACAAAAGCAAGACCGAGCCGCACTCTCGGCCAAAGAATCTGGGTGCTTAAGCCCCAGTTTAAATCGAATGACTGCAGTTTGGAAATGTCGGATTGCAGCATTCACTTCTTATGTTGATCTACAGCTGCACCGACATCTTTATTTAAACATTCTACCTGTTCCTTCGCTTAACGCTGATTCGAGACGCATTGTTTCGAGGAAGTGTTCTAGAATTTTCTCAGGCGTTCCTGACATCACGATATACCTGAGTAAAGGAAGAAAAGGAAACAGTGACCTAAAAAACCACTCTGAGCTTGTTGGAAAGAGAAGGTGAATACGAGTGTAACAAAGCACACACGCATGCACACACACACACACACACACACGTGTGTGTGTGTGTGTGTGTGTGTGTGTGTAAAGCTTTAGCATAGGAAAGATACCCAGTGTAGAATATCTTTATTTAGTAGTTTCAATTTGAGAAAAAGGGGCAAAAAAAGAGAGAAGTGAGTTGTTTCTACAGGAGAGGGGAACAGAACAGCCAGCAGAGCAGTGGAAATATGGGACGCAATAGTGACACCCAAAAGCAAGCACCTGCCACTAGACAATTTGAGTGGCGGGCATTCCCCGCTGGGGCTAGTAGGGTGGAAAGCAAGGAGCCCCACATTAGATGGAGGTGGAGCCAATGACAGACAGAGCTAACTCATTCTAGCTCTGTCCTCATCTTCCTCTTTCTACAAGAGGCAACAATGAGACTAAGGAGGAGGAGGAGGAGGAGGAGGAGGAGGAGGAGGAGGAGGAAGCTGGCAGTCTGTGCTGCACCTTGGATGGGCAGCATGTTAAGGCAGGTAGCTGGTTGAGGGGCAGATTGAGGCTGGTGGGCTGGTGACCCATTTGTTCTCAATAAGCCAGTCTCCCTCCACATGACAGTCTACAACAGTCAAGAAGAGAGCCAAAGCATGGTCAATATGGCCGCTGGGTCAGTTGGGGTGGGAAACAGGCACATTTAGGAACAGGGCCAGCTCCTTTGCTCTCTGGACTTAAAGGCAAGATGGCGCACGAACACACACACACACACCAACCACCATTCTACATACAGAAGCAGACCAGGCTGGCCACTGAATCTTACTGCGACACTGGCAACGGGACAGTGTCCTCCACCACTGCCAAGGGCGGCAGACAAACCTAGGGGTTGCAGAACTGGCCACACGGCACAGTTCTGTCCTCCAGCAGAAGTGCACAACTGGGGGTGGGATGGGGGAATCTCAGGAGGAATGGCAGGGGGTAGGGGTGGAGGCTCCCACAACTCATTCACGAACGGACACCCAGTATCCGACACCTGAGGCCGCCATCTCACTTTGCCTCATAGTCAAGCTAGCCTTGATCAGAATGAAGTTCCTTGTGATGTGCTGCTTTGGGATCCAAGCCATGACGTTTGCTTGAGATGCTTCATGTGTGGTCATCATCCTACGTTACGCATTTGTAAGTGTGTTTGATTTCTTTCTCTCTCTTTTCACCCCAATGCTCTGCGATGGCCAATGGCAACAGCTAAGATGTGATCCCAAAAGGGAGGAGGGGTGGGTCATGTATGGAGTTGCCTCTTGCCTCTTGTAGCGTTTGAATTATGAGGGGAAAGGTCCTTAGGAAATCTGTACCTTCTCCCCAAATTGAGCCAGCTGGCTCGTATCCTCAAGTAGCCCTCGAAAAACGGCAGCTAAGGCAGCCATCATGAAAGAAGATAACAGGCCCCATTTGTCACTTCTCTGAGCATAAAACTATTGAGGTTCACTGAAAAATAGGAACTTATCTATTAAGCTTTCCTATTCCTTCCGCAGTAAATGGGTTTCTTTTAGTGAACCTCTTGGTTCTTCTTACAACTTTGCATCATTTTACTGTGTTCAAGTATAGGGGGAAATCTAGGAAACTTCCCCCCTAAAAAAAAAAAGAAAAAAGCTCCTGCTGAGAAATAAGTAGTGGAGCTGAGCTCCTGGGAGCTTCTCCTCACTTTGAGGACTGGCCATCATACGGTTCTTTTACCTGCCAGCCCTTTGGGAAGAGCTGCATTGATGTCCCAAGAATGCAAACCCCTTGTTAAGCCAAGTGCACAGAGAGATACTTGCAGAGATACTAACTGTGTGTCTTGGGGAGTGAAGCAGAGAAAGAGAGAGAGAGAGAGAGAGAGAGTTTGCTGTACTTTCAATATGAAAGTGGAAATGAAATTGTGGAAGTGGCTTGTGGTGCCTGGAGACTAGTTGGCAGCAGAACTCTGCAAGAGATCAGTCGGCAAAGAGAAGATGTGTTTGCCCGTAAAGGGAGAGGGGCATAGGGAGTGCTTCACAGTGGGCTCTGCTAGCAACATCCCTTTGAACACTGCAAGAGAGATGTAGCACTGAGGAACATGGAACAGACCCAAATTGCATCTCAGGTCATTTGTTCCCAATTCTTAAGCCTTTTTCAGCCTTTGCCATTTCCCAAATGAAAGAAGCCAGTTCTGGACACTGGTGCCTTGTGTACTGGGAACAATTATCCCAGAGACATGAAAACTGCTTATGATTACTCATAGGCACTTATAGGGTCTACTATATGCCAGGCATTGTATAGGGAACTGTAGTGATGTGCCCCAAAATGAGAGCCAGTGTGGTGTAGGGGTTAAGAGTGGTGGACTCGTAATCTGGTGAACCGGGTTCGCTTCCCCGCTCCTCCACATGCAGCTGCTGGGTGACCTTGGGCTAGTCACATTTCTCTGAAGTCTCTCAGCCCCACTCATCTCACAGAGTGTTTGTTGTGGGAGAGGAAGGGGAAAGGAGATTGTTAGCCGCTTTGAGACTCCTTAAGGGGCGTGAAAGGCAGGATATCAAGTCCAAACTCCTCCTTCTCCTTCTTCCCTATTTTCCAGGGACAGTCCCAGATTTACAGAAGCTGTCCTGGTTTCTGATTTGATCCTGGAATGTCCCACTTTTCCTTAGGACATTCCTGTTTTCATTGGAGAAATGTTGGAGAGTATGGAGTTATGCAACCCCTAAGGCAAGGGGAGAGAAGTACCTATGCAACCTTTAGAAGACCTCTGAAGGCAGTTCTTCAGTACATCCTCAATTCCTACCCTGCAGGAGTTGGGCCAAACTACTTGATGCAAGGTGACTAATGAGACAGATGTGCACTTTAGGAATTGGAAATAAAAATAATAAATTATGTTTTCTTAATAGCAAAATGAATGCCGTTTTAAAAGCATTTTTATCAGTAATTACTCTGCTCAGTAATAACATTCCTTATGGTCTGTGAACAGATTTTGCACTATTTACAGCGAGACCTGCATAGAGTTCAGTTTTGACAGCTAAAGGACCACAGCTAATGAGTTTGCAAGTTGATATATGTTGTGCGCTGTAGGGCATGTGATCAGCTGGTGATATCTTTTCAAATGCGACATAATGCACTCTTTTCAAAGGCAGGAAGAAAAGACTATTGGCTAAATAAAACCATTTGGAAGCGTTAATCATAGTCTTGCATCAACACGGTGGAATTAAATCATACTTGTGCTGAGGAGGCTGCGAGTTTCCTTGATTAGGAGCCCTGTTTCCTGCTGGGATCTTCTCGAGTACCAAGACATCTTGGTCATGTTCCTTAAGTCTGACTGTGTTTGCTTCCACATCCTGAAAGATGATTTTTAATCATTAACACGCCAGATAGAAACAACTTGGTAAAAAGCCGTGCTGCAAATGAAAATTAAAAGGCAATTGATATATGGTTTTATACTCCTAGAAAAAGTATGGGACCCCATCCCAGGAAAGACAGCTGTCCTTTAGTGTTATTGGCATCTGTGGGGCAAGTTGTATGAAACTTGCATCTAACTTAAGGTCCATGTATTTCCAGCACGACTGAAGTCAGTGTGGTATAACGGTTAAGAGTGTTGGACTATGACCTCGGAGACCAGGGTTCAAATCCCCACTCAGCCATGAAGCTCATTGGGTGACATTGGGCCAGTCACAATCTCTCAGCCTAACCTCCCTCACAAGGTTGTTGTGAGGCTTAAATGAGGAGGGGGAAAACCATGCGTGCCACCTTGAGCTCGCTGGAGAAAAAGGCGGGATATAAATTCAATAAACAAACGAACTTCTCTTGGGTCATCAGGACCTTAGATCACAACATTGTGTTCAATTAGGTCGAGATTTAACCAACCTAAGCAGCTTTCTCTACTTCCTTTATCTATCCATGAATCTTCCTGCATTACAGCTGAAGTGCTAAACACATTCTTTTTATCCAGACTCCATAGAAAATTAATCCATTTCCCCAGAACTCTTTTTTCGTGGTTCAAAGGGAAGGCTTCGCCTTAGGTTCCTTACAATACTTCAACTAAATCCTTTTTCCCCCCAGTTCAAAACTGCATTCAGATTCCTTACTAATGCTTAGCCAATTATGAGTAGTACTATTAGCACTATACTACTATCATGACCACTACTACTGGTAGTAGTAAGATTGACAGCCTATTCCAGTCGTAATCATTCTCTCCACAGCTAAGTGTAAGCACAATGGTTTCTGCAAAGTTCAGCAGTGTGCTCCACAGCCTACAACACCCTCTTTCACCACTGTTTTTACACCAGCAGTGGTGCAACAGCTGCCAACGATGACTTACGTCTGTGCACAGATGAGCGAAGGAACCTCAGGCGTGCGGAAACTTGAAGGAAGAGTTGCGAAACGTTCACAAGAGCTCTTGAGCAAGCTCTCAAAAGTTGGGCAAACTCTTCACTTACCCGCAGTATCCTATTAAAGTCTTCCTTGTCGACTCTCAAGAAGTGGCAGTTATCTTCTCGCAGAACAATGGAAGCAGCTCTAGGAGCATCGTTCACTAATGCTAGCTTGCCAAAATCATCGCCTTCGTGTAGGGTACATACCACGCCCTAAAAACAACAACAACAAGAAGAAAAATGCATTCACACAGAGAAACCGTAATTGGGGAGTCTGTCCCATTGACGCTCCATGTGCAAACACAGGATTTCTAAGCCAAATACTATAACAAATGTATCTGGCAGGAAATTTAACAGCCAAAATAACGATGAGAAGACAATACATGGCAGCTGGTTATTACTAATGCTACAGAAAGGCAAGGGCAAAGAAAGAATGGGGTTTGTTCTCTGAAATTTGTTTCAGAGACAGACAGACTTCTGGCTCTGCTAATGGTGGCAACTTTCTTTTTATTTTTTTTTATAAAGTCAAATTTCTTAAATCAAGTTTGTTGAACAATAGACTGCCAGTTTCTGATATGTATTCCTGCCTGCTATCAGACTGCACTGTTAAGTCCCAGGGAGAAATGTAAAGTATTGCACTTGGGCAAAAAAAATGAGAGGCACAAATACAAGATGGGTGACACCTGGCTTGAGAGCAGTACATGTGAAAAGGATCTAGGAGTCTTGGTTGACCACAAACT